GAGAGGGGGGGGGGGGGGGGGGGGGGGGGGGGGGGGGGGGCTAGGGGATGGGATACCCGTGTTCCCTGTTCTCCAACACTGGGCGCTAGAGCGCAGAGAGGGATGGTAGCCGACTGTACGAGCCTATAATAGGGCTTGGAGACATTTACAGCCAGGAGAATGTAGTTTTTAATAGGTCTCAAACGGGGAGGACCCCTGGAGTGGGTGAGAAGGTTCCCACGTGCGAAATGGTGGAACGGGGTAAGAAATTGACGTTCAGTTGACCACAGATTCACTTATTTTCAAAAGTTTAAGCGGTAGCGTGGTAGCATACCATTCCTGCTCAGAGAGCATAGTTATAAGGCAGCAGATCCGACTATCCCTCCTTCTCTGTGCTCTAACGCCTGGGGTTAGAGTAGAAGGGTGCACCCTGGCTGCTTTCATAGTCCGCCGGCGTGCCGGCGTGCCAGCCGAGGTAGCGCTAGGAAGGAGGAGGGAGACAGGCGGTCAGTCGACGCGGTCGCGTCGCGCCCAAGCCCTGTCGAAACGCTGAAAACAAAGGAAAACAAGATCAAAAACCATTTACATTTGCCCTTCGAAGGGGCTTATGCAAATGGTTTTTGATCTTGTTTCTCTCTGTTTTCGGCCCTTTGAAAAGGCTTGGGCACGACGCGACCGCATCGACCGACTCAACTCAACTAAAGTTTCACCAAAAATTATTATAACTTCGTAACGATTACTGCGGATAGTGGAAATTTGCTGCTAATTGGTTTTCCTAAGGTACGGTGAGCGCCCGATTTTCACTTCTGCCAAAGGTCTTCAGAGGTTTGTCACAGCAGGTCTCATGCAATGGTGTAAAATGATTTGATCCATCATCGTTTTAAAAGTTGTGATGCGTTCGCGATGATTCAATGGGCGGATGTGTCGATGACGTGTCCGCCTCTCATTCGATGTCACGTCAGACAGTCAGACGTGGCGTCGAATGAGAGGCGGACACGTCATCGACACACCCGCCCATTGAATCATCGCGAACGGTGTCTTTAAACGTGGGTTTTATGTGTGCGCGCGTATTCAAAGAAGAACGAAGCAATCGATAATTGTTGACAAATTGAAGTGCTCGGAAGAAAAAAGTTAGAGCAATGATCTTATGGAGCTTCATTCAATAGACGAATTAATGTTTTCACTTCCTATTGCTGTCCTGATTTCAGGTGATTTCGACAATTTTCTCCGTCCTTACTATACTCGAAGCATTGCCTGTTGCTGGCAGAAAGATCAAAACGGGTCTTGACTTCTCGTTCCATGTTACTATTTTCCCGGTATCAACGGTTCGTTTCATTCTACCTTTTCCTGAAATTGACCTCTGGCCAAGTTCCAAATTGGTCATCGGCGTCTTTTTACTTCTATTTATTCGCAAGTGTTAAACATTCAAGACATTTTTTAATTGGAAACCCTGAGTATGATGGAGGGACTGGGTATCCAGGTACTAAATGTCTCGTAGTTCCTTTCTGTACACTCTCCTGCACAACACAACTTCAAATTCGCGAGTGACGGTACATAGCTGAAGGGCACGGAAAGCCTCTTCGGCTTAATTTCTGCAGACAAAATATTTCCTTTCAAGGCATAACCTTACCTGAAGCACCAATTTTCACCTGTCATCCTATGGTGGGTAGCTAGGGGGTCACATGGTGCATTTTTG